CTGGACCGGGGTCTCTTCCCGCTCGGTTTTGTCGGCCTCTGGCTCAGGGAGGCCCGGCACTTTCAGATGCAAAGATTTCACTGGGTGGCCTCCTGGCTGCCCCAAACATATTCCCCAATATTTTCTTCCTCTTCCCAAGTCACAGTTGCCTTCCTCTGTGTCCAGAGCATGAGGCTGAGGAAGCACAAGCCCGGGTCTGGAGCACAGAGCAGAGTGTTCTCTCAAGTCTCCAAACCTGTGACACAGAAGCAAATCCCATGCTAAGAGGCAGGGTACACAGTTAGCTGGCAATAAAACAGCCCCTGGCAGCTGTGTGCTGCTTCACAATATTTAAGCCCATCTATCCATCACTGTATTTCATAGGAACTCTGATTCTCACTAATTTACAGACAAGGAAACTGAGACCAAGCAGTTATGTGACTTCCCCAAAGTCACACAGCTTGGAAGAGACAATGGCAGATCTCAGCTGATTTCCTCGGAAATATCTGGTGAGGCTTCCCCGGGAGTGGTTGGGGGTTGGGGCAGGTCCCTCACATGCTGGGACTTACCCCTGGTGATGCCGTGCAGACGCAAGCAGAGGAACAGGGGCATCAAGCTGTGTCCTATGTCCCGGTCCAGAAAGCAGCACTTCTTGGGAACTCTTAGCAGAGGCACAAAGAAGAATAAAAGGCCTTCAGAAAACTCCTTTCTGGCATTAGCTAGGGCTAGTGAAAGCCCTGTCATAGAGACTTCTGGTTTCACCAGCCAGGCGTCGACAGTGCCTGGTTCCCTTGGGATGGCTAGGTTAGGTGAGGGCAAGCAGGGGTGGCTTGGCTAGTTAGCATTTGTGAAGTCTAACCCTAGAGACTGCAATGAGACCAATGCTTGTATCCCCTCAGTGTCTACCACTGAGCTGGGCACAGAGTAGATGCCCATCAAATACATATTAAGTGACTGTTGCGAACACGGTACTTCACAGAGGATTTCAGTATACATTTTCTCGCTTGAGTTTCTGAAACTTCCTGGGGAGGACAGGGGGGCCACGTATTATCATCTCCATTTCACAGATGAAAAACAAAGGCTTAGCCAGGACTTGAACTCGGGACTTCTGACCCTCCTCTACATATGCTGTGCTCCCAGTAAGTGGCCAAGTGGGGCAACTCCAAAGCACTTCCTGGCAGAATTAAAAAGAAAAAAATAGCAGATTGCGGGTAACCAGTTTCAGCAGCTGGTTTCAGGATCAGTTCCGCTACTGTGTTAATACTAAACTCTAATTAACTTTTACACAGGGCTAAAGGTCAGGGCTGGCTTGAGAAGATCAGATTCCTCCTGAGAAGACACAAAGACAGACACACCCTTGTTTTGAAATAATTTGCTTCGCAAAATGGTCTCTTTTCACAAATGGGGACAATGGGGGATAATTTTTCCAAGTGCCTTTGAAAATGCAAAGTCACTCCCTCAAGACAGATCCTGTATAAGACCAGCCAACGGTACTTTCAGATTATTTTTCCGTGAATCAAGGGTGATGTCCAAATCACACCCTGTCCTGCCTGGACCGAACGCACCATTGGCCTGTGTCCCGCCTCTGCTGGAGATGTCTGCCAGCCTGCTGGAACCATTTCTTTTCATAAGATCTGAGGATCCCTGGGACTCTCTCCACCTCCTCTGTGGTCAGTGATCCCAGTAGATAGGTCTAGGGGTGCTGAGGAGTTGTGGGAGGGGAGACGGGCTCACAGACAAATGAGTTCTGATTCGATTCAATGATTATTTATTAGACTGTACTCTGTGCCTGTCTCTGGAGGCAGACAGATCAGGCGTACATGAAGTGAGGTCGATACTTTCAGGAGCGCAGGGCTATTGATCCTGGAACTAGCCTTCCATTGCTCAGGGCAAGTGGAGCTGGGCTGGTGACATCTTAGTGGGACGTGCAACACGTGCTTGCTTCCTTTCCACAGACTGATCTGGATGCCATCTATGCCTCTCTTTCACCATTTAACAGAGGAAAAACTGAGGAGGCAACAGGGCTATTGATCCTGGAACTAGCCTTCCATTGCTCAGGGCAAGTGGAGCTGGGCTGGTGACATCTTAGTGGGACATGCAACACGTGCTTGCTTCCTTTCCACAGGCTGATCTGGATGCCATCTATGCCTCTCTTTCACCATTTAACAGAGGAAAAACTGAGGAGGCATCATGGCTGGGTGGCAGGTGACAAGGAGGGAGGAAGGGGCCAAGCCGTTGCAGCCCCTGCCCCCCCAGCCTAGCCGAGTGACCTGGACAGGGAGCGAGGCTCCCACAGCCCAGCACTGCCCTGAGCAGTGAGCTCCCACTGCAGCTGCAGCTTCAGCCACAGGATGGAAAGGACAGATTTAGAGGAAGGCATTTCCCCCTCCACCCAGAAGCCACCTGGCCCCAATTCTGCAGCTTAGCTTCGAGCAGGAAGACTGCTGGGAGAGTAGGAGACCCCGAGGCCCTGATTCTCCTTCGAGAGGCACTCGGACCCAGACGACCAGCAGCCAGGTCTCTCTGGACAACCCTCCCTTCCCAGAGGATTTGGGAGCAGCTTTGTTGAGACAGGTGGTTGGACTTTTGGACCCCTTGGGGTCACGGGGAAGTGGCAATGATGACCACTACTATGGAGGACCCAGAGAGGTCCTGAGTTGGCTCATTGCCCAACACACAGCAGAGGGACCAGGGGCGGGACTGGCCCAGCCATCCATCAGCCACGTAGAAGAGCCTCTCTGAGCTTCACTCTCCTTCTTTGTCAAGTGGGGACAATAGCCACAAGTGCTTCTTGGGTGGGTGGGAGGAGCAAAAGCGACAGTGCCTGGGAGGGCATGGCACAACTGCTGGTGCCAGTGAGTCCTCAGTACCCGGCGGGGACCATCGCTGTTCTCTCACTCGGGGACAGTGGCCTGGACTCAAGCTGGTCAAGGGCATGGGATTGTTCTTGGTGGCATTCATCCTCATTGCCACTCTCTAAATCGCCTAAGCCATGGGCCACCTCAACGGGAGAAAATGGTGTCCTCAGCTCCTGATTTTCTAAAATCTCTAAGGATCTGAGGGGTGTGGGCTAGCCCTGGAACCAATCAGTATAAGCCTGCTGCTGGAGCCTCATGAGGTCCAATGTCACAGAGCCAGTGTCCTCCGCGGGCCTCCCAAGTCTGGCCTAGCTCTTTTTCCATCTTATCTGCAGCCTCCTGTCTGGGAGCAGAGGTATCTGCTGCCCTCTGGCCTAATGAGGAGTGTGTTCACTTGATGTCACATGAAATGGGAGTGAGCAGGATGCTGAGTCTGGGACTTCTTTGCATGGCTCTGTTGATGGAATCTCATGCTGGTTTCCCCTGGGGCTGAGCTCTGTCTGTGCAAAGACCACTTTTGGTTTGGCATTTACTTTTCTGGGACAGACTTCAGGTCATGATCTCCACCTCCTGAAGTTCACTGGGAAACCCTTGGGGCATGACGGCTTTAGAGAAGACTGTTCACAGTTCCTTGATACTGAAAGACACCCAGGTTGGTTCTGGGTCCTGCTCTCAAGTCCCTGGGGACAAAATCCTCATCAATCTCCTGTAAGACTGTGCTTGGGGACATGTCTCCCTCTGACTGGTACAGATTGTAATTTTAGCTGCTTTTAGTCACAACTTTCTTACTTCCTCTGTCCTGTCATTTGCTGGAGTCATTTACCATCTTCCTGCTGAGCATAAGACCAGAAGCCCTCTTAGCCTCAGTGCCTCAAATTTTAGTCGTAAAATGCACACTTCGGTATTCTGACACGTTACTACATGGATGAACCTTGAAGAGAGTGTGCTAAGTGAGACAAGCCAGACACAAAAGAACAAATACTGTGTAAGTCTACTCTGTGAGGACCTAGAATAGTCAGATTCATGAGACAGAAAGTATAATGGTGGTTGCCAGGGGCCGGGGAGTTGGGATGAGGGAATGGAGATTTATTGTTGAGTGGGTACAGATTTTCAGTCTGGGCAGATGGAAATGAACCGGAGATGGATGGTGATAAAGGTCGCACGACAATGTGAATGTGCTTAATGCCAACGCACTGTACACATAACAATGGTTAACGTGGTAAATTTTATGATATACAAATTTTACACAATTTTATAAAGGATTAGGGTGAAAAAATTACTTAGCTCATTTGAAAAATATTTGAAATAATATGTTAAATTTTAAAACGGTTAGGAAAAAAATACACATTTGGGGGCAATAACTCACAATGAGAAGGAAACACAACTTTCTTCCAGGACATAACTCAGGGTAGACCTGGGCATCTTCTGCAATCAAAGAATGAGGAACGGTCCTCTTGGCTCCCCACCCCAAAGGGTGGTAAATGAAACAACAGTTCCTGCTGCCACCACCACATCATCACCCCCCAGATGTCATTACCATTCAGCACCTACTGCCAAGAGCTGCTCTGGGCCTCTTCCCTGAGTCAGAGCTGCTCCATCCACCAGTCCTGATAAGGGGCCCCCTCACCTCCGTGCACCATGGTCAGGTTACTTGCCCAAAGTCTTATAGGCAGTATACAGCAGAAGTGGGACCCGGACTCAGGGCTGACCTCTCCTAACACACACCTTATGTGTTGTCTGTCTCTGCTTCCTAGATTGCAAGCTCCGTGAAGATGGGATTTGTGTCTGCTTTGTGTACTGTTGTGCTCTCACTGCCCTTACAGTGCCTGGCACTCAGCTTGCAATATGTTGGGTGAATTGATTAGATGATCTGGTCTCTGCCAGCTCTCCAGACTCAATCCCACCCTTCCATCTCTTCATTCATGCACAATTTATCCTCTAGAAGTGCCAGAAGTGCCAGCCCTGCTGTACACATTCACACACGTGCATGCACATACAGGCCATTCCATGCTGATATACTTGTGCCCATGTGATCCTGTCTGCTGTTGCCATCCTCATTTGTCAGGCCAAGTCCTATCAGTCATTCATTGACACCCAATCCACTGTCATTCTGACTGTCAAGATGGACCTGATCCTTGTCCAAAGGGAAAACTGGATAGGATTCACTAGAACTCCGATAATGATAACCACAGCTGTGCTTCTTAAGGAAATCCTGCATCTGGACTCCTGTGCTCCTTCCGGTTCTCGGTGCTTGTTGTTGAAGACGTGCTTTGGTGCCTTTCAGTATGTTTGGAAAGCCAAGAAGCAATGTGGGGGAGTGAAAAATTAGTAAGGACTTAAAATCAATAACACACAGGGACCTTGAGAACAAGGGAGATTCGGATTCCAGAGAGCCGAGCTAAAGAAGGGCAGAGACAATACTGGTCTGAGCAAGAGAAGACACGAATGAGTCAAGAAGCATGAAAGCCAGGTAACGAGAAATCCTCTTGTCTCAGAATACATCAACCTCCCTGCGCAGGGCATGGCAGAGCAATTCTAAGAGAGAACGATTTAGTGGTTCTAATGTCCATGACTCATGGGCTATTTCAAAATGAATGCTCTGGTAAAGGGATCAGTGCTGCCACACTAGGGGTGCCTGGTTTCATGTTGACTCTGTGGCTACATCTGCAAATGCCATTCATGAATCACAAGAGGCACACGGCCTCTGCCTACCCTGGGGACACAGCATCACAGAGCATTTCCCTTGAGAAATCAGTAGGCTCAGGGAACCTGGGGTGCAGGTCACAGCTGGGCAGCTCTCCTT